CAGCATTCCTGGCAGAGGGAATGGACCGAGCAAAGGTGTGGAGGTATACTGGTTATACAATGGACAAACATACTCATAAAATAAAGAATTACTTAGTTTAGGATTAGTAAAGATGCAGTACGTAGATGGTTACTAGATGACAGTCAGAATCCCTGGGAAGGATGTTGATGTTAGCTTACTTTAGCGTCCCTAGTCTTTCTCCATCTCATGGAGATGCATTTGCCCACGGATTCATAAATTTAAAAGTTTGGATAATTTTATGTGTCAACTTGATTAGGCCACAGTACCCGGATATTTGGTCAAACACCAATCTAGATGTCACTATGAAGGTATTTTTTGGATGAAATTAACATTTAAATCAGTAGATTTTTAGTAAAGCAGATTACTCTCCATAATGTGGATAGACCTCATCCAATCAGTTGAAGGCCTTAAGAGAAAAAGACTGAGGTCCTCCAAAGAAAGAGAGAGAATTCTGCTTCCAGACTGCCTTCAAGCTTGAGCTGCAATATCACTTCTTCCCTGGGTCTCCAGCCTGCCAGCCTGCTCTGCAGATTTTGGACTTCTGCATGTGTGTATACACATCCTATTGATTCTGTTTCTCTGGAGAACCCTAATACAAATACCAAAGGTTTTGAAATAAAGAGTGACTATATTAGTCAGTTTTCTCCTATATGTCAAAATTTCCGTGATTTACAGCAACAAAAAATATATATGTTTAGTTTTCTTTCTCATGGGTCTGTGGGTCAGCTGTGGAAGCTGTGAAGAAGCCAGCTAACTTCAGCTGGACTTGCCTGAGCTCCATTGAACTAGAGCAGACTCCAAGCTTTGGGTTGGATTTAGGTTTGCCCCACAAGTCTTCATCTTTCTCCCAGGACCAGCAGTTTTGCAACTACTCAGCACCTGTTATTCTTGTGGTAGAGCATAAGAACACAAAAGCGTGAGTAGATCACAGGAGCACAGAGGCCTCATTTATAAACCGCCACACTAAAAATTCTACCTGCTCCATTGGCCAAGCAAGTACATGGCTAACATCCATGGGATGGAGAAGTAACTCCAGCCATAGTGGGATACAATGTAGATCCCTTGGCAAAGGGCATAGAGGCATAACTCTAATACAGGAAGAAAGTAAAGAATTGGGAACAATTCGATCTACTTGAGTGATCTTGTTAGTTATACTTCTGAAGGGGGAATATAAAGAGGTTATCAGACATAAACCCTTTCTAAAACAAGATGGAAAAGGAAGGAAGTAAGAGGAGGAGGGAGGGATGAGAGAAGAAAAAAAAGTTTTGATTGGAAGTTGAAAAGATTATCAGCCAAAGGACTGAATATTATGCAGTTTCAAAATAAGAATGGGACTAATTTAGGGCAGTATGTTGAGGGGACTAAGAATTATTGAAGAGGTATTATATTCAAAGCACTGTGCTGGGCAATTTGCGTACCCTATATCATATAATCCTTACAACAACACTTGAGGTAGATATTATTGCCAGATATTAAAATTCATTTTGAAAGAAGGGAACTGAATTGAGATATATTTTGGAAATCAAATTTATAAGACATTGGCCTAGTTAGATATGATGGTAAAATAGAAACGGGAAAATAAGATGACTCCTAAGATCTTGGACAATGGTGTGATGTTTCCCCATTGACTGAGATGGGAAACACAGAGGGAGGGCCAGTTTGTGAGCTGAAGGAGATAAATTTTTGACTTGTGTTGGTGATAGCTATGGGACATCTATGTGAGATATCCTACAAATGGTTGGAAATTTGTATTTTAGAGCTCAAGAAGAGAAGCCAGTTCTGGAGAAACACTCCAGAAATAAAGGCAAAAGCATTCTAAGCATGGAAAATGATATCAGCAAAGATATGAATGTGTCTTTTGCACACATTTCATGTTCATGGAATGGCTAGCAATTTAACGTACTGTTTAGACTTACACATGTGCCTAATCATATGCATTACGGTACACATAGCAGAGTAGTGTGAGGTTAGGTTGAAAAGATAAGTTTATACCTGATCTCAGTTGTCCTAGAATGCTGGCATAGGACATGGGGCTTTTATCAAGAAGGAGCCACTATAGGTTTTTGCATAAGAGTTGACTTAAGAGACTGGCTTTTTGGAAGACTGATGTAGCAGCGTGATATAAGCTGGACCAAAGTTGGGAAGCCATGTGGAAGGCTATTGTCCTAGCTTTTGTAAGCTCCAACAAAAACCTAAACAGGGTAATGGCAATAGGAACAGAAATGAAAGAACAGATGGAAGAATTGCTTTGAAAGAAATTATTGTGCAGCACAGTAACCATTCTGCATATCATTAAATACGTGTCAAGTTAATTTTGTAACTTCATTTAGCTCTAATGGTTTTCTCTCTTCAGGTATGGAGAGCCTTCATAATTTATTGGTCATCTGTTTGCATATTTTTCAATTAAGAGTTATAATTTCCATGAGGGAGAGACTATGACTGTTTAGTTCTCTACTATTCCACAACATTCATCAGAATAGGCACTGACTAAATATTTATTGAATGAGTGGCTGGATGAATCTGCCCCTGCACACATCAACATACCCATTTCCAGGTTCTCTTCACTCTGCCCCCTGTCTCTCATTCTCCCACCAAATATTTCCCTCCCTCTCACCTCCTTAAGTTTGGTCTGAGAGAACTTGCCCCACAGGAGTAACCAGATTACTGAGCAGTCTGCATTCAGTGAGACGCTGATGTGATTTTTTTTTTTTTTTATTTTACAATCTTGCCTTCAACCAAGCTCAATTGATTCTCTCTTTACTATTTTTTAATGTTACCTCAGACATATCTGATAACTTTCCAGTCATGTAAAATATTGAAAACTCACTTCCAATCCATTTCACCCTCCAGTTTTCTTTCCTTTGCCTGTCCCGTCCCCCAAGTTTAGGCTTCCCCCAAGAGATTGGTACCCCTCCCTCGTCTGATTCTAAATTCCCTGATGCTGGGGCAAGAAGGAGGGATTGAGGGGAAAGGCAAACTTCTTTATGCTTAATTGAGTTTGCTTTGCAGAGCTCTGGAGGGTATCTCCACCGCTGCTCGTTGGCTAACACTGACCATCAGCAACCTCTGTGTGGCAAGTGGTCACTGATTGCCCTCTCAAAAGAGTGGTGTGTGAATGCTTGGGGTGACCTATGGGGACCCCACTGCACAGTTCTCTGGTATGGGACCTCTGACTCTACTCCAGCTTGATTCATCAAGACTCCCTAAGCTTGTCTCCAGTATCCACTGCTGGGGTGGTCAACTTCTTGGATGGCTAACAGCAAGACCTCCCTGCCAGGCTGTTCATTTCAACTCCAATGAGTCTCTCTTCTTTCTACGTCTTTCTTCAGTTATTTTCTTATGTCAACTGGGACAGCCAGGGAGTTTCGTGGGGCTGAGGTGATTGTTCAGGGTAGCAGAGTTGGTTCAGCCACCTCTTAATAAGTTCTGGAGAATGCACCTAGCCCCAATATTTTCATAACTTTCTGTAGATTATGAAAGTACTTAATACCTTTGAGCCTCTGCTTTGGGTTCTAGTCTCCAATTTTGCACATACATAACATCTGGTTATTTGGGAATGCCACTAAACTTTCATTTTGCAAACTCTGAGTTGTCATTTACGTTTGTATCTACTGTGTAATAAACACTGAGTTAAGTGTTATGTAAACAAGCATTTAATGAATAGCAGAAATGGGTCAATCAATGTAAAAGTGAAATACAAAAGTCTGATGCAGTTCAGACTCTAATGCAAATAGTGAATTACACTCTAACTTTAAAATAGAGGACATTTAAACCTCAAAATGGAATGTAGATTGGAGGGTGGAACAATGGAAAAGAGGAAAGGAGAAAAAGTAACTCAAATTGAAGGAGAATCTCAAAAATGAGACCACTGCATAGTGACAGAAAGTCTAACATGTTTAAGATTAAAATCTGAATCCCTGACACCCAGACTAATCTTCTCTCTGCTCACAAGTCAGAATCATATAGATTTCCATTAACATTTATCTCTTTGAATCTGAATGAAGACGAAAATCTATGTTGTATTTTGCCCAGTTTTGCTGTTCCCAACGTGAATTTCACTGAAGGATCACACCAAGTTGATGAGTTGCCAGCTGTCCTTAATAACTGAAGTATTAGATGTATGGTATAGCATGCACAGCAGCACGAGTATTAAAAGTGAGTTACTTCAAAAACCAAGAACCACAAATTCAACTAAAATTTCAAATAAAAGCTAAAGGACTAGAATAATACATATAAAATTTTAAACCCAGAAGTTTGTCTTGCTTAAATTACTTTCACACTCTAATTTAAACTCAGAAACATTATGCTGCTGTCACACCTCTTTGTTCTCCTAAAGTAAAAAAATCTGTATATAGCTGACAAAAAATAGGAACCTGTCTGCCAGCAAATTCTCTATTCATGTCTGACATACTGTAGAGTCTATGCAGAACACATGGTCTCTAAACACCCAAAAGCCTCTTCTTTACTGGCTTAACACAGAGATATGTTTCTCCAGCATGTTTGCACTACCTACGATACATGTCTTGCATAAGCATGAATTCCTTTGGATGTCTAAGTCATGCAGTATTTTCACGTGCTTTGATGTTGTGCATATGAGAATTATCATCTACATTTTGGGAGTGCCGTTCCTTGTGCCTTCAGCATTGAATTTAATACTGCTCGACTGACATCATTTTAAATTCCATTCAGCACAATGCCAATAATGTCTATAACAGAAGTTTGATATATTTAGTTCTCTCAAGTATGGAGCTGATTTAGCAGCTAAATTGGAAATTTATGGGTGCGTTTTTGAAAACTAAGTCAGTGTGAAAATTATTAATGATTTAGAATTCTGCATAAAGCATTTTGGTTTCCCTTATTTCCTTGTCCAGAAAGATCTGTTGTTTCATATCAGATAAATTTCCAAGTAGCAAGATGCATTCTGTTGTTGGAATACAAAGCAGTTTGAATTAATCCTAATGTGATTTTCTTAATTACAGATGAGACCCATTGGCCATGATGGCTACCATCCCACCTCTGTTGCTGAGTGGCTGGATTCCATTGAACTAGGTGACTACACCAAAGCCTTTCTAATTAATGGCTACACATCGATGGACCTGTTGAAAAAAATCTGGGAGGTTGAACTTATTAATGTAAGTTGATCTCTTAAAGACACCTTAGCCATTCAACCCTTGATAAATGAAATTCCTATTATAGGTGGGTAATTTTTTATTTCTTTGTAACTGTTTGGATATCCAATGATTTACAGATATGCCTTCTGCTTTAAATATATATCTCTCTTGGTTCCAGTCAACTCCACAGTCATTGTCTTTTGAAGTTTTGACGTGGAGAACTAAGAGGACTCTCAGCGTGTTTTGCATTATCTAAGAAAACCTTCTAAACATTTTTGGGTTTCCCATTTTAGGAAATTCTGTCAATTTAGGATATGGGCATGATGAGGAATAGACTCCTATTCTGATCTTTGCTCATACTCTTTGTTAAAGTTATCATTTTTAGTATTCTATCTTTATTATGTTTCCTATCTCTATTCCTTAACTGCATATACAAACCCCATACTTGAAGAGATTGCTTTTGTTCTTATTAAATAGGCTGCTGTAATATCAAAATTTTATTTCCCAGAGCTCATATCTATATCTTATAAATCTTAAGTTGTGTCTGTTTTATTCATACACTTGGCATAGATTTTCTATGAAAACTGGCCAGCATATATTGTCATGTACTCAAGCCCAAAGATATCAACTAAATCTGCATAAATGGTTTTGTTACTGATACTTTTCTTATTTCATTTTTACTACTATTTTATTTCTAATGGCATAAAGGAATGAAAGAGAGGAAAAGATATCATTTAATGATCATGCATTCATATTATATTTGGCATCATGAACATTTCTTTTCAAAAATGAGTGAGAAGTCATTTAACCTTTTACAGAGTTTCTTAGATTTAAGTTTTATATTCTAATAGCTGGAAAAAAAAGTGTTCATAAACTGAAAGATAAAGCAACTAGGTTCAACAGTGCTCTGTTCTACTCCTCACAGCACTTTCTCTCTAAAAGTCCAGTCTCTACATATTCCATGTCATTAATTATTTTAAGTGATGGTTATTAGTAGTAATTAATTATTCTTTGCTTTTAAAAGTCTTTCTTAAAAGTAATATCTTTTATGGAACATCTCATAAAACTGTTCTTTAAAAATCACTTTAAATGGACAAATTCTTGGCTCCTTCTTCTAATTTGCCATCAGTTACTCTTAGCTTTCTGTCCTTATGCCCTCACAAAAGCTATCATTATTTCAGAAGTAACTCACTGTCGGACTCAAAGCCTTTGATTAATTTTGTTCTTGGTCTGTGTGGCAATGGAACTAACTGGAACTGTATTGCTTTTTGGTTGCATCGGAGATTTTGGTTCTCCACGGAGAACTCGACACTCATCTTACACCTACTCTTAGCCATTTGCTAAAGGAGTACCTTCCACAGATAAACAAACATGCTTCCAATTAAGTTTCATTCTAATCAATGATATAACTTGACAAATATATCTATGTAACATCTTCTGAATAATATTGCTCCCCACTGAAGAACAAATGTGATAGATAGCACATGAGTCACTCACCTAACTGGCATTAGCAGTAATCCCTAAATGAAAAGAACAGATTCCAATAGAACTCCATTATAAAATGTTTTCATTGAAGCAAGACTGTGTGTTTCAAAATCAAAATGCTGGGGCTAGTGTTTAAGGTGTGGGCTTGGACCCACCCTTTCCCAGTGCTGTGAGTACCAGCAGCCTAGAGATCCCTGTTCAGTCACTGTGGCCGGGCCTGTGGATGGCTGCAGTGACTGCAGGAACAGGGATGCCAGAGGCCTCAGGTTTACTGCTGAGGCTCAGGGACTGATATACCACCACCCAAAGGGCCAACCAGCCTTGAGTTGGGACAGAAGGATAGCCTTTTCTACCCATACTGACTCTTAAAGCATTTTTCCTTTTAGCTACATTTGCTATAATACAATCTGACTTCAATACGGAGAGAAGAAGTGCCTGTCACAAGCATCATGTCAGAATTGGAAAACATAGTCTCTGTGTTTTAGACCTTGAGGCCAAATTCCTCTGGCCTGAAGTACAACATCTATATCTAACACCAACCCAGTATATTTTCCTTAAAGTAAACTGATTGAATTTAAAGTGCCTTGTGACATCTTTATGGGCAAGTTCACACTTTTGATGAAGAGGTTTTTCAAGTCATTTTACTCTGTAGATATATCTACGATGGACAAAAACTGATCTGTACCTTTAGACTTGGAAATCAGAGAACAAAATTTTTATGTCCACTAGAGCTGCTACAAGAGAAGTTCATTTGATGGTTTAGGGTTTTTGGGTTTTAAAATGAGAGATAGGCACAATGTGTGCCTTCTGTCTTGCAAAGCTTTTGACTGATCTCAAATTTAAGATTTTTATTTACCCCAACTAATGAGGGAAGGTATCCAAATATAAGATAATCTCATATATAATCTATGGGCTTAGCAATTCTATATTAAGTACCAATAATTTACTGTTTTCTAGCCTAAAGGGAACATACATTCACCTTGATTTAGAGCAAAGCTTTTTTAGGGAAATTCACATCTTTGTAATGAGTGGCTGGTTTTAAGGAAACTAAATGGCTCCAGTAACTGTTGTTTTATATAAAGTGAAGAGAAAAGTGCAAGAGTAGGCTGTCTTTGATACAGAAGTCTGCTGGTGGAGGGGAGGAGAAAAAGCATGAGGAGGCTGACTGCTGATATGACTAACAGGTGACTTCAACATCATAATAGTATTGATTAAGCCTCCAAAGTCACATGGAATTATGTTTGCTATTAGACAAATAGTAACACATTCTCAGTGAGTATAATGAGTTTATTCAAAGTATTTTCATGAGGAAATGAAAACTATACAAAGTTGTGACTTGAAAATATAGATACGTGTGAAATTGTAATCTTTCAGAAAGTCCCCAAAGAGCTTTTTCTTTTTGGAGTGTATTATTGCCTTTGAATAACAAGGTTATTTGAATAACCTAGTAAGGGTTTTGGTCACAAAGCTACTCAAATTGTAGGGCCGAGGAAGAGTAGCGGAAATCTCATATCTTAATGTCAGTGTTGTCAGCAATGCAAATCAAGCACAGGGGAACTTTTAAGGCACAAGCTACTGCCAATTTTACAGGTCCATGTGTGTCTAGACTTAGAGAATGAAGTATATGCCAATAATTGTTCCCTTTATTCCCTAATCTATGCTTCATATTCAGGCACTGATGTTTTATGAATAGCTCTGTTTTGTCCCTCTGTCTGCCACCATCATTAATAATATCATTAGTACTACTTTCACTTTTGTGTTGATGTTGTGTTAAAATATTAATATTTTGGGAGAGATTGTCAGGCAAATTGTTCTCTCTGCAAACGCTAACTGGATGAACGTCTACCTTGAATTATAGTCCCCTCCAAAGGCTGGTTAAGAGAATTAAAGCCTAGTTAATAGTGCATAAGTACACGAACATTTTTAACTCGGAAGTTACTCAGGGCTTGCATTTGGTATTGCCAAGTTTGCACAACAGTTCCTACTGCTATTGACAACCTCAACAGCCCTGCATGGGGGAAATTTTAGATAAAAGGGCCACATATTTTCTGCATGAAACATGTATGGATAATTATGAAATCTCCATGAAATTATCCATTTTCTAGACAAAAAAAGAGTTTTGCAATTATGAAAACAGTGTTAATTTATTTTACTACTGTGTACCTACTAAGACGATTTTGGTAAGACCAAATAAATTTAAACCCTGTCCAATTTATTAATTTTTGAATTTTAGTGTAGAACATATTATTAATTTCTTCCCATTGACTTTACCATTAATTACCAAGGAAATAATTCTAGCCCAGGCTTATGATATCCTACAGTGTTGATGATGATAAAAGTACCTATTGAATGAGCAAAGTAAAATGCAGGTTTCAGTGCATTCTTAAATCTCTGCTCATGAATACAAGAATAGCTTTAAAAATCTAACTACAGTGGTTGGTTGTGTTTTAAATACCTTTGGGTAGAAACAAATAAAATAACTAAGGTAGCAATAACCATATGTGTCCCATGAAAATCATTTGGACTTATGTTTGCAACAGTAAATTGATTAGAAGATCATTTGCTTCTTGCCTATTAGCTGTTGAAACTATACTTACATCACTTTTGTTTAGGACTGTCAGATTTCTTTTTGTTTTTTCTTTTGCAGTGTTGTTGATTTAATTTCTAACTTTCCTGGGAAATTCTGTGATAATCTAATTACTTAGAGATGTACTAAGAAATTTTCAAAGGAAACATTCTAATTTTGTTTTAAATCTTTAATAGTGTGAATTTATGCTGTAGAAATATAGTCCTATCAGTATCAAATTTAGACTCATTGTGGGCTTTGATGTTTTTATTTCATTATCAGCATTATAAACTCTCACTCCTATCTACCCTACCCTCATTGCTATAATTGCAATTAAATTTATTCCCTAAAAGTCTTTTTTGCATTGTGTATGTGAGTGTGTGTGTGTGTGTGTGTGCAAGTATCGGATAAAGGCAAATGGTAACTTATATTCCCAACCAAAAAGAAAAATGAGTAAAATTTACAAATTGCAGGAGAGGAATGGGGAGGATGAATGTTATAATTGCATCTTCAAACCAATTATTTTAAGTAAAATGTTATGCCTTAACTATAACTATAACTATAACTATAACTATGTTATGCCTTAATAAATGAGAGAAATATTCATATTTCCACACCAGGGAGGCTATATCAATCAACACTTCAAATGCTAACAATTTTAATAAAAACTGAAGACTTTAACTAAATAACTGGATCTGAGTACTCAAGTGTAGAGCAAGCTTCATAAATTATCTGTGGATTTAACCATTTCATTTATACCCATATACAGTACAGCTGGCTCTTCACAAGCCTTCAGGACAGCTAGATACAACCTCTGAGTTTCAGACTTCTTCAGGCAGGTGTCAGGTAAAGCCCCTGGCTCCACCACTCCTACTCACTGCATCTAAACTGCAAGCTCTTCCAGGATTTTCTTGAAGCTCCCCTCACTTGGCCCAAATTTGCGGAAAAGCACCCTTCCTCATGTGAGATG